TTACATTTGTTCAGCACATCCCAGAACAGAAATGAAGCTCAAGGGCACGTCTGGTAAACACGATACCCCGCAGCCTCCCAACTTTTCAGCCAACCCAGAATAAATTTAAAGCTCCCTTGTATATAATCTGCATCAGAAAGGTATCAAAGGCACAAGCAAGAAGTGACTAGGTTAATAAGCAGGAATAATGGTGAATGAGGATGAATAGATTCACAAGGCAAATAATTAGTAAGGGTGGGTGGGTTTTTGTTTATTTACCAAAAATGAGATCTCCCAATTCTGCTCCAATGAATGTAAATAATGATTTTGGTTTAAAATAAAACTGTTACTGAATAATTTTAAATCACCTGAAGGAAACCAGTCTTGAAATAATCTGATACTAACTGGAAAACTCCTCTGGCCTCTCCAAACTCACCTGAGTGTGATGAGTAGAAGCCACCAGTATTGGAGACAAAAGTCTCCAGGGCTTAAAAGAGAAGTTTCTTTACAAATTTGTACACAGCCAGCAATAATTGTGCAGTTTGACTCAAATTACAGTAATTTGCACAGTTCAGTTGATTTTATGCATATCCAAGGAGCCAGATCAAATGGGAGTTTCTTTCCTGTCTTTGCTCGGCGATGGCTTGACTTGCTGCTCCTTGCTTGCTTTTGGCTGCTCTTTGGCTGCTTTTGTCTCCAGGACACTGTCTCTTTGCTGCTGAGAAACCCCCCCGCGTTTTTCTGGCTCCTCTTCTTCCTGCACCTGCTGCTCTGATTTAGCTCGCTGCAGTAGTCGGAGCTGTACTCGCAGTTCGATGATGGCCTCTCGCTCCTCGTGAATCGCTTGGTTCAGGTCATTGTTCTTTATCTTTTAAGTAAGGAAAAGAAATGTCAGGGCTCCTTCTGACTAGGAACCACTGAAGTGAGAGGGGGCCTTTAGCACTGCACAAGGAATCACAGAGTCATTTAGGTTGGAAGAGACCTTTAAGATCATCCAGTCCAACCGCTAACCTAACCCTGCCGTCCCACCACTAAGCCATGTCCCCAAGCACCTCACCTGCCCGGCTTTTAAATACCTCCAGGGATGGGGACCTTGGGCAGCCCATTCCGTTGCTTAACAACCCTTTTGGTGAAGAAATTTTTTTTACTCTAAACCTCCCCTGGGGCAACTTGAGGCCATTTTCCCTTGTCCTATCTCTTGTTACTTGGCAGAAGAGGCCGACCCCCACCTGGCTACAGCCTCCTTTCAGGTCATTGTGGAGGGCGATCAGGTCTCCCCTCAGCCTCCTCTTCTCCAGGCTAAACAACCCCAGTTCCCTCAGCCGCTCCTTGTAAGCCTTGTGCTCCAGACCCCTCACCAGCTTGGTTGCTCTCCTCTGGACATGCTCCAGCAACGCAACGTCCTTCCTGTAGCGACGGGCCCAAAACAACACAGTATCTGAGGTGCGGCCTCACCAGTGCCGAGTACAGAGGCACGCTCGCTTCCCTGCTGGCCCCACTGTTCCTGACAGAAGCAGCTCTGCTGCTCCCCCAGGCAGCAGCATGCACTTGCACACAGCACTGTTTAAAAACTGAGGTTCCTGCCTAGGCAAAGTAAATGCACACGTGCACACGGGTGGGTTTGCAAACAACTCTGCGCAGACTGAATCAAGTAACCACGATGGAGAAGAGTACCCATTAACAGCGGATCAAATCTCACCTCCAGCTCCTCATTCTGCCTCTGCAAATCTTCCAGGATGACCTGCAGTTCCTCCTCATCTTCACTTTCGCTTTCACTCTCGGAAGAATATTCCTCTGTTTCGCTTCGGCCATGCTGCTGGCGACTGAAAGAGCAACGAGAAACTGGGATTTAAACACGTCCTCGGGTTTGCTGGAGCTGCAGCAGCACAAAAGCGTTAACTCATGTCCACTGAATAATCTGCAACTGTTTTAAAAACAAAACCAGAATTTCCTGTCAAAGCTTAATTTAATAAACCGGTGATTTCCTAGGGGGATTTTTTTTTTTGAGTGCACAGGGTCTAGCTTCCTTTGGATTGTAATTCCATTGTTACACTAACAGAAAACATCCCCAAAGGCCCAAAGTTGCTGAGATTTCAATAAAGAAGAGGCTCTCAAATGTGATGTTCACAGGGTACGCTTTTAAGTGTAGTTCAGAGCACCGTTTCAGAAGCACACAGATGTACTTTGAATTGACGAGTGCTCCCCTGGTGGGAGATCTGGTGTGAGCAGTCGCCCTTTTACCTTTGTATTTCAGCTATCTCTGCGCGAAGGCGATCTATTTCTTCCTTCTCCGAGGCAATCTGTCTCCGCAGAAACTGCTCCATGGCCAGCAGTTCTTCCTGTTCCGTTAAAATCTCGTTCTCCTGCAACAATCAATTAGTTCACTTAAAGCCTTGACTTCATGTTCTACGGGAACATAGGATAAGCGTGGGCTGGGAAGCGATGCGACGGCGCTGCTCTCTGAAACACTTGCAGCAGAAGCGGTTTGCGTGCCTCCTTTGAACTCTGATTCATCAGGACCTCAAAGCAAACGTAAGTTCAAAACTGACGCTGTCTGTTCTGAATCCTCACCGTACGATCGCTGTACTGAACAGTTCTGGAGATGACGCACCAAGATCTGGCACGTTTGGCTGCCTGTTCCCTTAAATCTTAGCAGAAGGCTCTGGCTGACCAGTACAGTAACTAGAAAAACTGAATTCTAAAATACGTCTTTGAAGATGAATGTAAGGAGGAAAGTGGAGTGAAGATCAAAGCTACCGAGGGAAGCAAAGGAAGGCAGAAAAGCCAAAATAGTTGCCTTACTTCCTTTGATCAGCAGGGAAGTAGTTAATGGTATCGAAACTGGATAGATTTGGGAGAGCTTTCTAAGTGCATTAACAGCAAAGGCAGCTCTTTTGCTGCTGCGGTGTCTCCTTTCCGCCGTTAACAAGAGCCTCCCCAGCTTTGGGTTCCCTCCTCGGTCAGTGCTCCTCCCCTACTTCATTTACCATTAAAACAAAGCCTCATATCTTAATTGACAGAGAGACCCCTTTAAGCTTCCGATTTCTCATTGCATTAGAAGGAACAAGAGAGTCTTTAGTATTTCTGAAAGCTGTGGAACAAGAAAATACCCGCAGACAAACAGGCAAGTGCCTGCCATCTACCTGTGCAAGCAGAATATTTATAACCTCCTCGTTCTCATTCATTTCTTCTTTGGAGACATCCTCCTTCGAAAGGCTAGCAATCTCTTGTGCAATCTTTGTTTCACACTCCTGCCAGAGAAAGAGAACAACTTTTAAAAGGACAGCTTCCCCAGTCACTCTATTTACTGTAAAAAGAAGTCATTTTCTGAACCTATTATTTTCCAGATTTAGAATCGCCACCTCAGTCGTCTTGAAAGTTTTCAGCAAGGTTCGGCCCTTCTCTGGGACACAGGACAGTTTAAAACAAACGATTCCAGTAATTCCTCTTGGTACTCCAGAACACACTGGTTTAGGCACATAATGAATACGTGGCTCTGCCAAACATCAGAAGTTTTTAATCATACATATTTTTGTTTTGTAAACAGCTGTGAAGGAGTGTGAGGATCTCGCTGTCCCCAGGGAAAGCCAGCGAACCAGAAAATGCAATTGCTCCTCAGCCACGTGAAGTTAAGATGAAAAAATCTGCAGCAAAAAGACTGAAACATGGTTTGACCTAACTGGGTGCTTTTGCATTGTCAGAAAGTAGGGAACGCTCAAGATATTTGGTTCCAAGTTGTATGCCCAGTAAGCGTAACGATGTCTGCTCCACCCAGAGAACACCATCCTGGGAACCACCGTACAGACTAAACTTACACTTCAAAAAAGTAGTGGTCAAGCGATCCACTTCCTCCTGAACCCACAGAAGCATTCAAAGCACCGTTAAACACATACACACACCCTGGCCATCTCACACTCGCGCTCTTCCTATCTTGGAAATACACAGAAGAGCAAAGCTCAAGCATTTCCAGCTGGCACAGCTGTATGGACTCATTAATTGCCCAGTTTTCCCTAGAAAAGCATTTCTATTCTCAGACTCCGAGAGCTCTGTAACTGGAGATACGAGGCTTTTCAGCAGGGACGGCTGTGAAAGGACAAGGGGTGATGGTTTTAAACTAAAACAGGGTAGGTTTAGACTGGATGTAAGGAAGAAAATTCTTTACAATGAGGGTGGTGAAACACTGTAACGGGTTGCCCAGAGAGGCGGTGGAGGCCCCACCCCTGGAAACATTCAAGGCCAGGTTGGACGGGGCTCTGAGCAACCTGATCCGGTTAGCCGTCTCCCTGCTCACTGCAGGGGGGTTGGACTAGATGACCTCTAAACCCAAAACATTCTATGATTCTATACTTAAAATTATACCAGAAATTATGCAAAATTGATTCTAGAAAGTATCTTTTATGCTTCTCTTTAAAGAGTTCACAAGCTAAAACTCATAGAGCAGAACGAAAACTTGAATGCACAGACAGGAACTCGTAATAAAATTCCTCCATCCTTTCTAAATCTAAACTGTAAACCCAGAGAATACTGACCCCAGCTGTCAGTCTCTGAATATTAGAAGAACCCTCCCAAATCCATGGCTGTGGACCCACCTCACATTTATGGTACTTTCAACAATGAGGTTAAACAATAAGGCTGAATGATGCTCCCCAAGAAACAGGGGTAGCCCATGGAAAAAAACGACAGTCACAAAACTTTAGGAAGAATCGCCATAGTGAAAAATACCCCACAGAAGTTTTATCGGTGATTTACATGTTTGGCCACTAAATAGAAAAGTTACCCACCTGTCTCTTAGCTTCTCTTAGTTTCCTCTTAAGAGCTGTTAAAATTCTTTGCACCTCCCAGAGTCTCTCTTCTTTGGATAAGTCTTTTATCCCTGCCTGCAAGTCTCTGTGTAAACAGTTCAGGAGGAACTCCTAGAAATATTGCCGAAGAAATCAGTGTCTTTAATAGATCATAGCAGGGCAGACTGAAAAGAAAAATCTGTTTGGCTTCGTGGCAACAGGCTTGGAGTTCTGGTTTTTCAAAGCTTGACGGGTTGACCAACGACAAGTGTTGACACACGTTCAGCACATGATCTAGCGCTAGTTAAAGCGTGTGGTTGCTTTACTATTGCTCTTCAGCAAGTTCTCCCAACCCTCCTCCCACCATAAAAGTACGGAACTACTTGGCAAAGCAAGACCTGGCTGTAGTCATCACAAGACCGTAGGACCTTCCCACAAACAAAATGGGCAAGAACAGCACCCACCTCCTTCCAGTGGTCTCCAGTGACAGGACAACTGCGATGCAATTAAAGAGTATGCTACTTACGAGAATTTACGACTGACTGTATAAAAGCCAGGGCAAAGATAAACAGAAAAACGCTGAAGTAACTGCCCACCTGTCGCCTGATTTCTTCTTTGATGCTTTCCTGTGTTTCTGGGAGTGCTGGCATTGTTGCCATGTTTGACCAGCGAAGAGGTTTTGTCACCTGCTTTAGGGTCACATTCCCAAAGAACTCCTGAACATGCGTAAAAAATACATACAGGACACGGTTGCTGATCTGCAAAGAAAGGGCAGACAAAATACTGCTGAGGATGATTCCTTCACACCATCTTTGCGAGCATAGCACCTTCCTCCAGAAACAGAACAGCCCTTGTTGCAGTGTGCCCTTCTGTGGGTCGTACTCGTGCCAGTTTGTCTCAAGAGATTAAAATCTGGATTAAAACCGACACTTTAAATGACCCAAGCGCTGGCCTCAAGCAATCACTTCGCACTCTCTCTTACCTGTGTTTCGGAGGCATTTTGACGCTAAGCTCAGAGCTGCCCCATGCCTTTAACCTGCCACAACTATTTCCATTGCTGGTATATACAGAGATGTATTAAATCTTTCTTTCTAACTCCTGTAAAGGTAGTTCGCGATAGCAATAGGTGAGAGGGAACACCAACCATACCGCGCTGTGGCTGGCTGCTGGCCACCCCCTCCTCCTCCCCCAACCTGTATTTTCCACAACCTCTCCGATGATTTAATACAGTAGGAAAAGTAGTTGGAAAGGAGCTGCGACTGTATTCCTTGTTCTAACATGAGACAGAAGCAAGTATTTATTTTGATACTGTATCTTCCATTAAAATTCAAAAATTTATCCAGAAAGATTAAGAGTTCTGTCACTACTTGCATTTTAATTGCCAAAATCTACTTCACATCAAAACCTGATTGGGCCTGCATTGTTTTACATTAATTGTTACTTCTTTTGTTAGCTAGAAAGTGTCTGGCACAGCAACACAGCCAGAATAATACCTGGCCCTTTTGCTACGGGGCCTCCACCTAGACTCTTAATTATAAAGCCAAGCTTTTCAGAAGTGTGGGTTTTCTTCGAGCAGACCCACACCCAATAATGCCATGTTTCCATTATGCACAGGACTAATTCTGAGCTGTATTTAAATGAAATACTTCCAAGATGTTTATTATGGAATTAATCAATCCAGAAACCACAAAATCTTACTGGAAAACCGAGTCAGCTGTTTGCCCCAGCCATGTCACTGCAGACACCAAAGCCATTTTACCTAAGTCATTACTGCACCAGGAAGATCTATTTGCAGGATGGGGTTTGTTGGCTTGATATTTAAATTAAGCAACAATAAGTTGCTTCACTAAGCTATCAGAGTCACAAGCCCACAGAAACTGTGTATCTCTCTGCATGAATTACTGGATGAATTCAGCATTAAATTACTTCTGTGCACAACAGAATTAAAACCCTGACAGCAGTCTGTGTAAAACTCTCATAACAACTCAAATATCAGGCCCGGAGTGGACCCTATCAGGCTCAGCGAGTCTTGTTCCCCCTTTCCCAGCATTTTAGGTTCCTGAGGTGCAAAGAGAAGTTGTACTTCAGCTTAACTGGATCAGACAATACCCGATTCCCACCTGCAAGAGAATTCCTACAAAGAAGTCTTGTGCGGGCTGAAGTTCTGCTCTAATACTTGCTGCGTGGGGCACGTACCTGGACAGTAGGGCTGAGCACTATGGAAATATTCTGGATGTTCATTTTTGTTTCCAGTTCCTTTGCAATCACATGGTCCATATGCACAATCAGCCAAGAAATTAGGAGATGGTTACACTCTGGCAACTCTTTCAGCAGCCTCTGGCACTCCTGGACTTTCTCAGCTTCTGTGCTCTTTCCACAAGCATCTTCAAAGCGGGGCATTAGCTCTTTGGTAAGCAAATTTTCAGGCAGTTCTCGCAGGTACTGTTTCAGCAAGCTGGCTACTGTGTTGGGCTCGTATTCTTCCAAGTTGGGAGATTCTTCTCGATCGTAGGCTGCTTTGAGCTCATCAACTTTTGATTTTATTCCTTAAAATATTTAGATCAAGAGTTAAGAGAAATCTTTGACTGTAAACGTATAATATATATTTAAACTGAGGTTTTCTGAGATGCATTTATTTCGCCTCTCCTTACAATCTAAGCTGAGGGATCCCCATGTAACAAAGTTAAAATCATGCCTCAAAATTTTGTGATCACTGATGACTGCTTCGAAAAGCACTGACTGCTACTACGAAGCACTGCTGAAGCTCTGACTCAGAACTGGTGCCACCATTCCCTCGCATTGAGGAACATAAATGGGGCGAGGAAGGGTAGGGGAATATAGATCAGTTGTGTGTTTGCATTCAGCGTCTCTCAGGCTGTTCAATTACACAGCCCTAAGCCAAGCAGCAAATATGTTATCAACTCAAATATTGTGCAACAAGTTCTACCTATAACAGCTTTCTTCTGTCAAAACAAACCCCACACTTTTTAGTTTCCAGATTTCCAGCTGGCCCTCCTCAACGGAGGAATTTCACGCAGGATTCTTGATTTGAGGCACTGCATGAATAAAAGTGCACTCACATAATTACTCAACCCAGCCAAGATTTTCTGGAAGGTGTTGTTATAACTCTGTGACATTCCACCCTTCCCAAACGCAGGGAAATTTCATTCTTAAAGCTCAAACACCCACTTGAGTTACACCAACTTAACGCGCTGCTGTGGCTTGGCTCATCCACAGTAAGCAAAACTGGGTGTGCTCAGCCCACAGTAAATGCCAGGTAAAATACGCTTGGTTTCACGTCCAAGTCAGGCAGTCATCGCGGCGGCTGGTAGGATGTTCAGCCACTGCGACTGTCTCTCTGAGCTCTCAATTTAAACAATCTGACACACGCAAGAGGGTGCTATTGCACTGGAGAACACCTAGAAAGCGCAAACGTCAAAAATGATTTACGGAAAACACACCTCCTTCTGTGAAAATTCCCAACACACCGTGTCTTGAAAAACCACGCAACCAGAACGTTCCAACAGGTAAGACGAAGAAACTGCTCAAGCTGCTGCGGTATTTACGCATGCCTACCAAATACCGTGCAGATCAACAGCATGAAGACAGCTTAATGAAGCCTTTAAAATCGTTTGGTTACTGGTTTACAGTGCTAGGCAACTTGTTTCAAATGCTTTTCCTCAAATTCCTTTTCTCTCTTGTTCTTGCTCCCTTAGACATACCCACAGGAGTACGTACACAGGAGTTATGCTGCAGACACAGCTCGTGAATAAAGGGACTGTTTTGTTTAACGTGGATAGAACTGAGGTTTCATTTATGTGAGCTGGCTTTACGCAGCTACTGGGGTTAATCAGCCTGCTGTTGCTAAGCTCAAGTAGTGAAACTTGTACTTTCTGCTTATCAGTGTATTTGCTCAAAGAAAAGAAGTTTTTAAACAAAAAATCGTGCAATGGAAGTAACTGGGAAAAGCAGCTTAGTGGGAAGCTTAAGTAATGGTTATATCTCACGTTATGGGTATATTTTAATGGCTATATCTTAAGTAATGAGTATCTCCCATCTTTGCTTTTGCAATCACTTAACATCGTACTTCTGATGCAGAAGTAAAAAAAATACAAGCTGGCCACAGTAACACAGTTTATTCACTGTTACCATCCTACCAAAAAAAGGCCAAACCAGGTGTATTTTTACCGCCGTTAAGCAGTACCACCATACTAGCAACTTTTCAGGTACTTCAGACCTACGGGTTTGCTTAACTTTAGCTACCTGACTATCCTTAATAATACTAATAATTAAAATTATATATAATTAAGGTTAGTGCAGCTCTAAACAGAGTCTTCTAGGAGTTGAAAATGGTAAAATAATAAGAAAATGGCAAGTAAAGACCTTAGGAACCTCTATGTCAGTGTGCCCAGAGTACCTGAAACTCTGTAGATGCCTTCACATTTCATGCCATACTTCTCTACGTAATCTATACATTCACGGAACACTGCTGGCAGGCGGATGCCGTCATACATCATGGTCCTGTCTACTGCATCAGACAAAGGAATGCCAAACACGGGTCTATGACTTGGAACATCCACTTGAGGTATCTCTGTCTCCTGAATTGGCTTTTTCTTTTTCTTCTTCTCTTTCCACTGTTTTACAACATCTGCTGCAGTTAAGTCTTTTGACTTCTTCTCTTTATGCTTGTCTTCCTTATGCTTGTCTTCCTTGTGTTTCTCATCTCTGGGTTTCTCTTTTATTTTAAAATCCTTTTCCTTCTTTTTGGAAAAGCTGGGTTTCTTGAAGACATGTATTCCCTTGGACCGCTTCAACTTTGAAGGACTTTCAGCTTCATCACCGGAACTGTCCTCTTGAAACGCAGCATAACCTTCCGCTGTTGGGCAAAGGAGGAGAAGGCAAGAGGACAGCTGTAAGTCCGGTTACTTTCTAGACAGCGCATTGTAACAGGGAGAGAACAAGAAGTAATATGTATGGAGGAGAGAGAAGCAGCCACTTGAATTAAAAAACAGCGCCTGCCTGACTCTTCAGAAGGTTTTCTTTAGTTGTTACACAATTAAGTGGACAAGGATTAAATCAAGGTTGCATAATCGCATCAAAGATAAGCCACACAGTTCCTGAACGATCTAAACAATTAATACTTTATATACTTACTCATAATGGCAATGTCCATCTTATGGGCTAGTTTCCCATCTAATAGTCAAGGAAATGCAAAATAAAAACAACTGCCTGGCAACTTCTCTACGTTCCTGTAATCGACAGTATAAGAGTCGCTGTTAAGCATCATCTACTACATACACATAAGTCTAACAAACTTCTAGTAAGAACAAACCAAACTTCAGCCACTTAACTCCCCACAAGCCCATTCCAGAATATTATGAATTTTAAGATAAGTATGAAGTTAATAAAGTTTCAGCCTCAAATAAAATACCCAAAAAACTAAAAAAAAAAAAAGAAAAAAAGAAAAAGTCCAACCACACTTACTTGTCCACTAGACAAATAAAACAATTCCAGTGACACCAGCACAATACTTGCCAGTGAAGTTGCGTATTGGCCTTAGAAGCCTGTGCGAGAGCTTCGGGCAGGTCCACGGGCGGAGTACACCGTTTCAGCAGCAAAACACCAAGTGCCCTCTCGAATGCGCACCACTGCTTTTACTAACTACGCCTCTGCAGCTCGCCCTGCCTACCCGTCAGGCAAGAACAAGGAAACCTTTAAAGGTGGATTACAAAAAAAAAAAAACAAAACACAAAAAACCACCCAACAAAAAACCAACCCACAACCCAACCCAACAACACACAAAGCAACGCAACTTCCAAGTCAATTAACCGTCATTTGGCATACGCAGTAATGTAAAATCCCATTTAAGAAAAGTTAGCCTGAAACCTGGTCAGCAAAGCCGACATTTTACACGGCCTTTGCACCAGCCAGGTCCCCCAAGGCAGTGGGCAGCAAGCTCTTGCTTCAGCGTGGAGCCCCCCTTAGACAGATCCTTCCAGGCTCTTCCACGCCCCACAGGCAGTGCCTCTGCCCGAGCGAGGAAGCGCACCGGCAGCCAGGTGCTCCTCCTGCGTGAACAGTTTTGGGTGGTGGAAAATTACCCTCTTTGCTTATAACAGAGAGCATCACGGACGAGATTATAGGCTGTAATTTTTACTAAAAAAAAAAAAAGAAAAAAAGAAAAAGTCCAACCACACTTACTTGTCCACTAGACAAATAAAACAATTCCAGTGACACCAGCACAATACTTGCCAGTGAAGTTGCGTATTGGCCTTAGAAGCCTGTGCGAGAGCTTCGGGCAGGTCCACGGGCGGAGTACACCGTTTCAGCAGCAAAACACCAAGTGCCCTCTCGAATGCGCACCACTGCTTTTACTAACTACGCCTCTGCAGCTCGCCCTGCCTACCCGTCAGGCAAGAACAAGGAAACCTTAAAGGTGGATTACAAAAAAAAAAAAAAAACAAACAAAAAACCCCCCAACAAAAAACCAACCCACAACCCAACCCAACAACACACAAACCAACGCAACTTCCAAGTCAATTAACCGTCATTTGGCATACGCAGTAATGTAAAATCCCATTTAAGAAAAGTTAGCCTGAAACCTGGTCAGCAAAGCCGACATTTTACACGGCCTTTGCACCAGCCAGGTCCCCCAAGGCAGTGGGCAGCAAGCTCTTGCTTCAGCGTGGAGCCCCCCTTAGACAGATCCTTCCAGGCTCTTCCACGCCCCACAGGCAGTGCCTCTGCCCGAGCGAGGAAGCGCACCGGCAGCCAGGTGCTCCTCCTGCGTGAACAGTTTTGGGTGGTGGAAAATTACCCTCTTTGCTTATAACAGAGAGCATCACGGACGAGATTATAGGCTGTAATTTTTACAGGCGAAAGATCTTGTGCAAAAGAACCGAGGGGCATTCCATCTTTTATTCTTCCAATCCTAAACTACATTAAGCTGCAGAGTTTCTCAGCGTTATTTCAGCACGTCCAAGGAGCTGTCTACATTTTGAAGCCTCCCTGACTGCTCTGTAGAAGGCAGCTTTTAATAGTCAAATAAATATAAGAAATGTATTAAAGCACGGAACTGCCATAAAATAATTACAATTGTTTGACCAGCTCACCCTTCCCAGCCCGGGCTCTTCTCTAGGACTGCCAAACATGCACTTTCATAAAAGATGGATAAAGACTATAGCACTGTTCCTGTCCAAGTGAATTTTAATATAAAAATGCAAATGTTAACTGGAGGACAAACACGGCAACCAGGTCTTATCCTCCCAGCTTACTGGCTATACCATCATTCGCTCTTTTTCCCAACTAAACCCAGAAATGGGTAAGGTATCCTGCAGCGCATAAACAAAGGATTCCAGTCTCACTGTGAAAGAACCTGCCGATGGACCAGCTACAGGGCAAAGGAGGAGCACACATCACCGCTGCCTTTTCTGAGAATGGGATGGGGCTGGCACCGAGTTTCAAGATGGGGTTCACAGCCATACTTTCCAAACAGAAAGCCCAATCTTCACCAGAGCCCAGAACAACCTGCCCTCAGTCTTTCCTGCTGGGAAGCTGTAACAGCTCCCAGCCCAACAGCGCAGGGCTCCCGCACCCGCAGCAGGAACAGCGCCAGCGTCCGTCCCCGGGCTCAGCAGAGGGGACCCAAGCTTGGAGGTCGGTGTCACCAACAGGCACCTGCCTGACATGTCTCAACATCTTGCAACACAAACCTCGGCGCTTTTCTAGATCTGTGGTAACGTAACACCAGCAATAGCACATCACTGAAACTGGTATTTCTTGACTTCACAAGAAGACATGAAGGAGCACGTTAAACACAAACCCAGCCTCTTTTAAATTTGTCTCAGTAACATAAGTCAACAAAGTTTAGAAATACATACCGATTACAGATTCACAGAGAATCTCCCACCCATACCAAGAGCGGGTTTGTACATCTCTCAGAGTAGCCCAATTTTCTTCTGGTAATAAAATTATTGTAGCCCTTTCACCAGTGATAGAATATATTGAAATATAAACAACCTAAATTTATACAGAAGACAAGTTATTGAAAGCACTTCACAAAATCAGGTAGTTCTAAACTTGGAAAGTAGTATTGCCTACTGTTAGTAAACTGGTATTTCTGTTCACTGTTTCCTCAAGACTTCCCGTACTAACAGTCTGCGTTTTCCCATCACTCTAATGTATCTCAACCATGTTTTCCTGCACCTATACGAGACCAGTACGAATTTAATAAACACTCCGATTCCACCGGCATAATGACGGGACTATCTGCCAGTTTTGCAGACAAAGGTTGTTTTGAGTCAGGAAACCGATCTGAGTTAAAACTATCCCAGTAAAAAGAAACTGATTTTAAGCCCTAAAAGTCCCCTAATCTAACTCACTCTGCAGCTAACCAAGACTCAGGCTGCCACAGAGGAGTGGAGAATAGAAATCAGTAGCTGAAACCTTTTCCCAGTAGTTGTTGCTCCACATAAAACCCCCCAATATTCCATTTAATTTTCTATCATCTCCAAAAAATGTTTAGAACTTTTCCCCCAGGATAATTGCTGTGTATTATTATGTTAGTGCCATTAACATGAAAAATATCAAATTATCGTATTATCCACATAGGAAAAAATATCCCTACAAAAATGCTTTTTTGAGATAGGTAATAATGCTGAAGCTAAGAGTATATTACTCCAGCAAAAAGGATTTACCTGAAAAACTAAAATGAGTAACCTCAGGATATTTATCCTTCCCTCTCTAACATACTGTCCTGCTCTTCAAGCATTTCTGAAGTTAACATTTAGGGTATTATTAAAATACCCCCAAATCTTTGTAGGATTAAGGTTACATACCGTTTTAGGAGTTTGGATGACCCTGTCATGAATTCACTGATATTCTACATTCAACAAACATCCACTCTGTCATAATTTAATATCAACACTTGTCTTTTTCTCAGTGAAATGTTCAATGACATTTGTTTTGACCCCAAATTACACAAAGCAGGTTGTATATTGCCCAAAGTCAAAGCAGCTGGTCAGAAAAGTGGAAAGAAACAATCTGAACACGTGCAATAGAATTTAAAAGGTGGAAGAAACTGAAGAATCAGAAGTACAGAAGGAGTAACAAAGGGCAAAGCTGGAAGGGGAACTCTTAAAATCAACTGTGTTAATCAACTGTAAAGAGCCCTTGTCATTTACATAGGTAAAATGTCTGTTCAGGGCATATTTACAATAATGACCATTTTTGGACTGTACAAGAGATACTGAAAGCTTTGTATGTAACTTAATCTTATACCCGACCGGCAATTAAATGACGTACTTATGTTAGGGCTAAGAAATGCTGAATGCTTTTTATATTACAGCTGCAAGAGAGAATTTGTTTCTTCCTATATTTTGCCTTCTTGAGGATTTTTTGTACCTTTAAAGGTTCTTTTAAGTAACAAAAATTGCTTTACATCAGCTATAAAATGTGCTGTAGCCACTTGTGGAAGAAAGCCATTGAAGTGCTAATGTGCACAGACCTGCATCTATTTGCTGAAGAAGCATTTTTCCTCTTTAGCCTTCAGTTAGATTATCACCATGAGACATGCAGAATTACACCACAAAGAAACCCACGCTGTGTATAATGCTGACCTCTAACAATTCCAAAGTTAGAGGTTTCTAATCCAGAGTTATGACAGAAAGCTGATTTGCAAAGAAGAAAAAAATCAGCTACTAATAGCTTGAATTTAGACCCATCTAATTAATACCGAATCTTCATCACCAATCCAATATTCTGTATTAGGTTAATGTTATTTACATTAGGAAAAAACCTAAAGAATCCGTTTTCTTAAAACCTGCAGGAATTTAAACTGTTGGTTTTAACTGGAGGATAATATATTTCTGAGTTATAGAATCCTTTATGCACAATCTTTAGTTAATACCAATAGTCCTCCTAAACTGTGGCAGAAACAAATCCTGCATTCCAGGAAATAGGTTTGATTAAAAGCATTGCAGTGGAAGCAAATTCTTTAAGAGTAATTATTTAAATATGTGCATACACATTACAAATAGTCACCATATTCATCCTAACATGCCAGAATATTGTGTGCTGTCTCACTGGTTTTGATCTTCCAAATTTCACATATAAGAAGTGGCAAGGTACGCTGGCAGCCAGAAGTTCCAGACATCAGAGATACAGGCATTACAGATGATGAACATTATTTTGAAATTTTGCTAAAACAAATGTCAGTTAAAAAAATACTAACATTTGGGCTGTGGTATTTCAGTTTCGGGGACTTGGACAGTAAGGATCTTTCTGGTACTGAGAGTACTCAGTATCAGCTTAGTATTTCCAAGTGCTCTGTTCTTTAAGAACAGGCAGAAAAACTATTGAATAAAAACTATTTTTCTGTTTCCAAAATTTTCTGTACAAATCCAAAGGTGGGAAGTAAAATTTCTGTTGTTTTGGAGGAGGGGTATGCTTTTTAAATGAAAACTTCTGTTCTGGACACTGATACACTGACAAAGAATGGATTCTATAGTCAAAGCTTTATTTCTAACCTTTACTCTGTCAGCTCTAGTAATTTCAGATCGTGATGTTGGCTTGCACATTTTTGAACTCTGCAATAACACTTAGGCACTCCCGGAGCAAACTATATGATCAGACTAAACTGAGAAGCTAGAGAGAAAAAAAGGACACAGATTTTATTACTCCTCAAATAATGGAGCAGTGTGCACATGAAAACCTGAGATGGCACATGACAGCAAACTCTGAATGTGGGAGACCTAAGGGAAAACGGTCAAAGTTGTTGAAACTGACTCTTCCAAATTTAAAAGTATAAAATTCAGGTCAAATCTACAGTTTTATTCTAGCTAGCACCTCAGCTACAATTTCAATCTATTTGGAAATACACTTGGAAACCTCCACTTAGAATGTGAACAGATAATGAGATTAGAAGAACCCCATGCCAGGCAATTACCAATGCATCATTAAAGGTTTTGGATAAACGTGTTTATTAGTAATTCTGGGCACGTGCTTGGCACTTGTATCTGCGCAACAATAAACAAATCCGTTTTTTTTGGTTAAGGTGCGGGGGGTTTGGAAGAGAAACAGGTATTGCACAAAGCCTGTCTGTACAAGTTAACTTCCTTCACACCTAAACAAGTTCCACTGGGAATATTACGCAATTTTGAGAAAGAAAGGGAGAAAGAGAAATTATAAACACGAAATAAGAAAAGTTGCCTACTCACTTCTTTTCTCTTTCTTCTTAAATTTTCCTTTCTTCTTCCCATGCTCCTTTTCATCATCAGATACTATATCTGGAGGCTCATGCAAGCTGTCATGAGGTGGTGAAGGCTCACCGGTGCGGTACAATCCAGGGAATTTCGTAGGACTGATTTCTTCAGAGCTGGGAGTACGAGCAAGGCCCCCACTGTGTTCTACCCGACGGTGTTCACTGGGGCTGCTAGTGGGAGGCAGGAAGCACTCAGTCATTCTGATTCCCCGATATCAAAGAGAAATCTTCTGCTACCTGTCCATCACACCTGCAGCAGGAGGAAACAAAGAGAAACCCTACAATATTTTAAACAATAGGTTTCAGAACACTTTGGTTAGAGCTCTACACAACAAACAGCAATACCTTCTACAATGAATGTTCCAATTTAGGTCAAGACACAGTAATGTAACATCAGGTCCTAAGCTCAGTGTTTGCAGAATCTGTCCATTAACTCCTAAGCTGCATTAACGTAGTAAGAGAACTGCTATTTTAGCTGTCTCTACTTTATCCTATATAAAACATTATATATTACATAGTGGAATATATTAACATTTAAAGAATTCTTACAAAATTCATAGGCAGCTTGCATACTGGTTGGTAATATTTATTAATAAATAGTTACCCAACTGTACATTATTTTTTTTTTTTTTTTACATAAAATAGGTCTGTCTGGAAGCTCAGAGCATTTGTGAGCACTGCACTTAAGGCAAAGATCATCTTCATCTTTCCCAAGCATATTTTACAGATGCAAATAAGAACTTGCCTAGCCTGTTGCAATAAGGAATGGGAGGAAAAAAAAAAACCTCCTAATGTCAAATCTATCTTCTAATTATGCTAATGCAAATTAAAGAACGTAGAAAAAGAATGATTAAATTTTTCTGGTATACAACAACAACTGCACATTTGAAGAGGCTATACCAGGTCATCTGAACCCAGACACTGGTATGTTGTTTGCTTAAGAGTTATGGCCAAATAAAAGCTAAGATGAAAACTGCTGAAGGAAGCCAATACATAGTCTCAGAAATGGAACTTGTAAGCAAAAAACTCTTCCTAGAATAGATGAATTTCAGAAATGCCACAGAACAGATATGCTGTATGGGACCTCATACCTCCGGAGTCTGCTTTGCTGAATTTGGCCCTTTGTGTCTAAATGGTCACCCTCAGATATGAGCCCTTCTTCCAAGGGATGACAAGAAAACAGAAACAGCTTTTTCTTTTCCTGGCATTTACTCTTATTTCCCACACCCACTGGTATGCTGGGATGAGACATCAAGTCATGGCTAACTTTAATCCAACTTAAATCTGTGCTGCTGCTGAAAGGAAACTGATCTATTGGAAGACAAACAGAAGAAAAAAAAATTTAGTTTTTTAAAGCTACATCAGTGCCACGGCCTGGCTCTCTATGCAGCCATACAAGCGTCAGGGCAAGTACAAAGGAAGGCTGAGAGAGGTGGGGGAAGGTGCCCTGCACTGCAGACTTAAAATGATCAAGGTGACTGTGTAGCCATGGCCTCAAAAACCCAGAATTAAACCACGTTGTAAGATTACACACAAAAGCCATATCAAACCCTTTTCCATAAATATTTTAGTTATGACAGGAGTACATCCAGATATAATAGCTATGGCTTCTGCACTAGCCTTTGGACTCTGCAGTCACCTCTGGCACTTCTGCTATTTAATGCTGATGTACAGATTACAATTAAGAAGAAAGTAGTCGACCCTTTGCTGAGTTAGGCAAACAGTCATCGATAGCCAGCATTTTATACAACCCTTATTCAGGAAAATAAATGATACACGCTGGCTAAGCAGGAACTCCTGATACATCATACAAAACAGACTCTATCTTCTTATGCAAAAGCAGAAAGCCTCTTTAAAAGAGAATAGCGTTAACATGAGATACAGCCATTTTCCTTTTTTTTCTTTTTTGTCATGCTTGTTGGGTTTTGTTATATTTTTTAATGGATATCAAATACTCCACTACTATGATAACTTGGTATTGTGTTTGAACAAGTAAATGGAGTGCTCCAACAAGACATTTTAGGAGAAATGTCCAAGTATCTCAAGCTTCAAACTTACAGATAACCAAAATAAAGCCAAACCTTCCACTTATACAAGAATTTTCATTGCCAGTCTGTGTCATTGGTAATATTGCTGACTGAGCTGGCTTGTGGAACAGCTCAACAAGCACAAAAGATGGAAACCAGCGGAGTGGCACAACCATGAGGCCAGGAGTGCAACCTCCCTCTTTGGGCAGCTCTGTTTTGTGACACTGAACACACAGCTTCATCTCCCCAGATTTCACTTCATTCTTAGTATTTTCCCCATAACTTCAAGCTTCGATTTCTTTACCACCAGTACTCCCACAGTTCCTGTCTTGATTGATTTCTCTTTTTCACCCTCAGTATATCGCACACAACATGATCTTCATCTGCTTTGGTCTCTGTGACCCAAGCTGTTTGCTCAACCTCCCACTTTCCCTTCCCCTTGCTCTTTATTCAGCTGGTTCCTACTCTCCTGCTGCACACTGCTTCCTTGCAGATGAAGTTCTCCCTCTTCTTCCTCTATTTCTTCTATCTGATTAGTTATCAGTTCCCATTTCTTCCTGGATGTTCTTCTCTGCTGAAGTCTTTTGCTTCCTCATGATTATCTACCTCATCTTCTCACCTTGGCCCTTTTTCTCCTACTGGCTCTCAGTCTCTCCCTAGTATCACAAGAAGCCATCTTCTTCCTTACCTCCCTACCAACAGCAGGCCCCTCGACTCCCACCAATTCTTGTTCACTTGACATTTCATTCTTCTTCCACAGGAGCCAAGAATGCTGTTAAGTGACAGCGTCAGAGAACTTCTCACAGTTCAAGCACCTCCTCAGACCTAAGCTACTCTTTTCAGTACTCCCAAAACACAGTTTCTTGACCCATCTTCCTGCTCAACATGCAGCTGAACCTTCAGACTAACTGAGTGTGAAAAATAACCTTCACTGAACATGTGCAGAATTGGGACCTTTCCTCTATCCCCCAAGGAAAAACTAAATTAAAAGAGATTTTAAACGTGGAAAGGACATACCTTCTGCTTAACACAGAAACTCCTAGCTGTCATGTCACCACCATCTTTTGAGACCATACACCAAGCACAGGGATGTGGACTGGAGAGAGGAAGATGACTGCATGGGCAAAATAATGTGTTTTTACTGGCCTGATTTTTGAAAATAACTCATCTCTTTCCTAAAAAATTCAGCCTGAGCTACAGATATAGTAAGTAAAAATTAATATTAAACAGCTGAGGTTTGGAAAAAACATAGAAAAGTGAAGACAGAGAGACATGACAGCCAACTTTAATAGATCTCACTTACTACAGTGTGTCATCTAAATTGGCATGAAGACATTAAAGAGAGGTACAGTTTGAAAGACCAAACTCACAGCGCTTTCATTCAGTACAGAAGGCTCTATTATTTCTGTTTTGCACTGAGTCTTGTTTTTTGACTTTGTGCCTTGTAACCAATTGCAACAGCAGAAGCAAATTAGAGCAGGTGACTGCATGCACAGATGTTATTTTGTAAAGCTGCTGGGCGGAATGAAGGACCAGGGAATTTTTCTGCAACAGCATTATGCAAGACCACATCTGAAGCGTGTCCCCAGTTCATCCCATTTTGCCACAAAGAGGCACACTCTGAAAATCTGGGTGTTACATTGAAAACAGTCCCAAGACAACAGCCATCAAAGGACGGGGGCAGAGTGGGAACACTCACTCAGCTACCAGAACCTGCTTTGTCGTAACTACCCAAATGCAAGACCCAGAACACTGCAGTGCCTCATCATCGTGTGAAGAAACTGATGGTACTTGAAGAAATGAGGCACACTGCTTTTGGACAAAAATTATCCCAGTAATAACCGTGGCTCCATTTTGGAAAGTAACGAACCATTAAGAGGAAAGAACAGAACCTAACACTTGTGGTTTAAGTGTGTCAAAGCACCATGAGTGGTACTCCTACACCTGCTCAGATGGCTGAAAAAGAGGAATTGGAGATGAGAAGACAGAGATAGAATTAAGTAATTTACCGAGACTATACAATGTCTGAGACACCTCTGGAGTTCTATATTTTGCTCAGACTATCGCAAAATGTGGGAGGCCATTAAAACCATGGTCCTTCCAAGAGTAGAGGATATTGTTAAGAACACCCCAAATTAATCACCTTGTAACTACTGATAGTTGTCAGCAACAGCTTAGGCAAAGAACAAAGTTTTTACTAGCTTAAAGCTAAGAAACCACTTAGGTTTTACTCAAATTGTTCTGAGATTTTATTACTGCAATAAAACACAACAATATAAGCTGTGTTTTGAAATAAAAAGATGCATTTTTTACAACATACTGAAAAGCTTAATACAAAACACTGCTTTCACTCAAACATTTCTTAGACTGAAGCACTGCCATACAGACAAATAGCAAAATGACATCAGAGGCCATCTACTTTATTTAACAAGCAGTACCCAGGTACATAAACAGTGCCCTTTCCTTTCTTTAATAAGGCAACATGGCCATGGAAGGAGAAAGAAAAGGGAAATGCTTCATGTAGATGGGTAAAGCAAGTTTATAATTTCTCAAGTCACAAGTAATCACATAAACAGAGCATCAAGTAACTCCCTTGTGAGTCATGCACTCTTCACAACTGGCAATAATTAAAGCCTCAGGAAAGGCCTTCACAACATTTTTTTTTTTTGATAAAGAAAAAAAAAAACAAACTGCATAGCAGCATTCAGCTCCTAAACCTAAGATTACTTTACAGGATATGTGATGCTATGAGAAAGTTAAAAAACTTACTTTAAAGGAGAGCGTGTAACCATACAACTCAAGTCACAGAGGAGCAAGCTGTACATTTTTCAAAGATAATGCCAGCAGATCAGCTCTAAAAGTAACATAAACAGGTTTGTGTGTTCTCTCATTTACCTGTAGGTGGATAAAGTCTGCTGCAATTACAGTACCATCCAAAGTATTTCAAGTTCTGCTCTGAGAGTCCATACCAACTCAGAAGTAGCGAAAGACAAATACACAAAACTACTTAGCTGTCAGCAATCAGAGCGCTATAGACCACATCCATACATTCAGTATATATAGCAGTATCCAGGCTATTCCCTATTATTGAGGGTATTCCAGCTCTTTGTTAATCCATTCGGTAGAGAGCCAACATTAAATAATCAAATAAGAGCCTAGACATTTTAGAAATATCAGAAAGAAGGTTTCTGATAACATTATGATAAAGTTTCATAATCACATGAAGGTAAAATCTCCAGTTACTTGGTAGCATATGCTTCCCAGTTTGGTTCACTTCAGGGAAAGTATCACAGCCTCTAGCCTGCAAATTCTGTAGAGTGCCATCAGGATGCAATTCACAGGCTGTTTCCAATAGACATCTTGGGGAAAACAAAACTTGAATCGCCTAGGGAGACTTAAGTGCTCTGCTCTAGAGAGCACACCTGAAAAGTGACCGACCATAACCACACAGGAAAAGCCCCTGTCCCGTGACTCTGCCTCCTGCACCGGCTATGCTGTCACGCTGCCAGTTTTGCCGTAACATCCTGCTTCCCCGGTGAGGCACGCTGCGACAGTTTGCATCCCGCTGTCTGTTCCAGGGCAAGCTAAAGCAGGTAGTCCAGAGAAAAGCCTAGGCACAAATCTTTGTTACAGGGTAACAACCAAAGCCATATACAGAGGTTACATGAACTACGCCACCTGCGGCTCTCCCATGCTCATTCCCATCCCTCAGGAATATCTCAGCAAGCCCTGCCACATGTCTTCCCTCAGCTGAATCAACAGCCGTGGAGGCAGCTTCAAAGCAGCGCATTACATTGTGATCACAACCACGTATGTAAGAGGCATTCTTGGAAATAACTGGCCAGCTAACAACTGGAAAGACTGCTGTTTAATTGCATGATTCCAAAGTGACAAGCAGAAGGTCTGGACTCCACATGATGAGGCAGATGGGCACTATAACCAGGCCAGACTTTTGCAGGAGTGTCTTGACTAACCAGCTACGTGCATCACGACTGCTACCGCCCACCCAGAGAATAACTTCTCATTCTCCAAACTTCTTGGGAAAGTGCTGGTCCACTGTTCAGGATTCTCTAGTCTTACCCCTGTGAATCCTACTCCTGGTTCCCATGGTCTTGTCACCACCAAGCAACCCAATACCAATTCCTCCCCTCATTCCTGATCTAGTTAGCGGTGTCCCTGCTCCTGCAGGGGGGTTGGACTAGATGACCTCTAGGGGTCCCTTCCAACCCAAAACATTCTATGATTCTATGATTACACTCAAGCCCAGTATGCTAGCTTCCGTGGTGTGGTCCCACTGCTTCCCAGGCCCAGTCCCTCTCTGTTAGTTTCTTCACTCCCCTCTCCTGCAGTCCAATTCCTCCACCATCAGGACTGTACCTCCTCTCTCACAGCCTCCTCCTCACCACGCAGGTGTTCAGCACCAAGACATGTGCAACTTCAGTTTCACCATTTCTCCACACCCGGTGCCTCAGCTAATCTCTCCTTTGGCTGCTCACCACTTCCCAGGTTTTCCCTTGCCACCTTCTATTTCTCCCACATTCAATTCTAATTAAGGCTTTTGAAAACTACGGTCCACACAAGCAAGGAAACTTGGGAAGTCATCTCCAGCCAAATTTAGATTTCCACTCTAAAATGCAAATAGCATTAAAAAGGTTTGCCTGATTAACAAAATATTTTTAATTAAAGACATTTTCTTTCCTGCTAGCTTAATTCTCAGAAATAGTTTGAAAGAATTTGGTTAGAGTGTTTTGTTTAAATTTTTAAATACCAGCCTAAGAAACCCAACCGAGCAATTTTCAGTCCAAATGAGAATGTGGTAACTTTTGATAAGGGCTAAACTACTGAGAGCTGGATTGAGTAATAGGAACTGTCCTGCAAATGTATCAAACCCTCCTATACTTCTGAATAATGCCACATTGTACTCATATATAATACCCGCTATTGCTTAGATTGGTCTTAGAATTATTCCTGGTGTGACAACCCTGCCCCTTTCCTCCTGTCCATCTCTCCAAATTCCCACTTGCGCCAGCACTAATGCCTGTAAAAGAGAACAGAAAGTTTTACTTTTACCACTTAACATAGGCAGGGAGGAAAATGAAATAAAAGGTGTGCAGTTTACTTTTTAAAAAATTGCTATGAACAAAGTATCACTTCAGGTTTTGTTTGCCCTCAGGACTATATACAAGTTTTATACAATTCACATTTTCTGACAGGTCTTTTGAAGAATTGTCTAATCCCTAGTCACCAAAAGTCTGCAGCAAGCCATACAGCAATTGATGATCTAGCAAATTAAGACTCATTTTTATACTTCTATCAGTTCCTGGGCTACGTTTATTTAATAACAAATTCCCCATATCAGAGATTGGAACTACAGCATCGTTCAATCACACTCCAGTACCCGAAGTCAGCAAACTTGAGAACAGCTGTCCATTTAGTGGAGGCAGTTAAAAAAACCATCACAACACCCTGACCGGTTGAGCTGAATGTACTTCAAATGCTGTAAAAAAGCAAGTGCTAATCATCAGATTGAAAAAAAAAAAAACCACAATGAAGCAGAAGAGAAGTCAACAGATTTGGCATCAAATATTTTACTGGAAGTGTAACGTATTTCTGCTATTCTTTCAAGAGCATCTACAGACTGACCATGACAGATCACACAACAGAGGACAGAATTTGTTTTTTCCAGAGCTCTGCATGCTCAGTTCCATTGCCTAATTAAAAAAACCTAAGGCTATATATAGCCGAGTTTTGGGGTTTGTGTTTTTTTGTTTGTTTGTTTTGAGAGTGCATTATCTAACGCATGCTAAAATACCAGAAATGACAAGGGTAAACAGCAAGTATTAAAGACACTTTGCTTTGGATTTAACACTGGCAACAAATCTGGGACATGCCTAGACACCAGAAATGTGTCATATAACATGCTGGCATTTCTGTAACAGCAATAATTCACCTGGCAAAAGCAACATCAGCAGTGGAGATGCAGTAACAACACATCATGAAGCTCCTGCCAGCAGGTAGAGTTCAAGCTCTACATGGAACTTTTGGGAACATGTTCAGTTGACGTGTACAGGCAACACTGCTGCATTATCATCATCTCTCTTATCCATCCCAATTACAATGAAACCAGAATGGGTATGCCCCCCTAGAAACATCGCTTAACTTGCGTCTGCTGGTTTGTCCTTTAAAAGCCACTTGCTACCACCTACTAGCACCCGGAGTTTAGTACAGGCGAAGCCTAGCTACGCTTCGTCAGCTGCATGAGCCTGCTCAGCACCTAGAGCGCACGCGCGGCACCAAGTACAGCGGGCTGCATCCAGGCAGCGTCGCTTTTTAATCCATTATTGAGATATTATCTTTTAGACTGGTGTAGAAAAATCAATTAGAATTGCCATGCTTCTTCACTGAATTGTGATCATTATTTTATTCACAGCATTTTCAAACAGCATTAAGTTCGTTTTACATAAGTCACTTCATAATCCTTTAACTGGGAGATCAGTATGAGCAGTCTAGTTTACCTTCCCAAAGGCAAAGAATATTCAATTCTAAGGCCTCATCATTCTCAGAAATAAGCATTTTTCCGAAAGTGTATTAATGACATACAAACCTTTAGGGTTAAAACAGTGAAAATTAAGTTTCTTATGCTTTACACTGATTTTTTGCCACCATGTATTGAACACAGATGAAGAGATCTATAAATTACAGGCTGACACTTGAACTGACAACTCTACAACATAAGGAAAAACTAAGAACAGCGTTGCTTGGATCTCTTCATAGTGTGATACACGACACAGATGACAAGTTTCCATGTATGATTTTTTTTTCATGGTTAAAACGCTGCATGTTCCAATGTAACACAGGCAAATCATATCCAACTTTTAGTGAACATTAAATTAAAACAGAGCTATGGTGGTTGAGATAAAACCCTTCTATACTGTAACAGCAGAAAGGAAAAGAAAGACTTTGATCTAGAAAAACTGTTTACATAACAGCTTCTCTGATTATTTTTAGCGGTTATTTAGTAAGTATGTCTATTATGTCTATCTGCTGATTATTTTTAGTGATTATTTGATAACTATGCCTATCTACAGCAGCTTTGGGTTTGGCTTGTCCTGTATATTATTGTAAGATATATACAGAGTCCTGTGTACTATCAAGCTAACATCAGTAGTGCCTATTGACCTAGAAACCAAAGTAAAAGGAAAGTCACCCCTTCTGCCTTCACCCGTTGTTTTCTTAGGCCCGTACTGAGTAAAATCAATTGGAGATCGGGTTGCATGCAAACATTTTCCCAACTTAACTACAATGGATAGGAGTATAATGTTGCCATGCTCCCAGCACAGCAGTTTTTAGCAAAGCCTTACTGTAGATGCCGTTTTACTCACCAAAAGACTTTTTTCTGAGATAGCTTATTTCATTTGGAAATCTGTTTCGAGCCATGCCAACAAAATAATAGTTTTATTGATCAGTGTTACGTCTATAGCAGTGCAACCTGCTGGAATAGATGCCAAAGTCTGTCAAACTCACACTATGTGTAAAAGAAAATTATCTTTTTTTTTTTTTTACCATGGTATGTAAGTTTCCACACAAGATGAGGGCTATATCATCTCCTCTTTTCAGACATATTCTATCAATGCCAATGACAACTCTTCATCAAGACTACATGTACTATTTA